AAATTCGTACGGGTATCACAGAGTTGACAAGGTCAACTCTATTTTTTGTCTCGTTTTAATTTATTTTTGATTGACGTCTTCACTCTATTATTTGTACTATAAAATTATCGACCATATCTAGAAATAAAATTCAGATTCTTGTTATGGATGTTTTAAAAAAGACTCTCAATGCCATCTGCTGGTATCGAATTAAATTTTATTATTTCGTGAGTATAAGAAAGGCAATCATACTACAACATCAAATAATTGTGAAAATCTTATTAAGAATATGAATCCCAAAACTATAGTATAGGATGAATGAAATAATAACACATAACATAAAATCTAATTTACATCTTAATTTCGAAAACTCACAATTAAATTTACAAATTTTCAGATTAAATAATTAAGAATTTAATTGATTGTCATGAGGACAATTTTTCTATATGAAATGTAATGAATAAATATTTGATGGTTTCCATTAAACAAAACAAAAAAAAATAACTATAAATAAAAAAGTAAGTGACCTTCATGAATGACAATGTTTTAAGGTGCAGTCAAAAAAAATACAAATTTTTAATTTCTAACTTAAGCCGCCTTTCAACAAACACTTCTGATAACCATTCTTCGTAGACATCAATTTTTGTATATGTATGTACATATGTATATTGTAGGCACTTTGTACCAAAATTAATAAACAGTTTAATTTTTTTTTCATTTTCTAAGATTTGCGTGAGAGATTAAAAATAAAAAAATTGCGAAAATAAAAAATTTAAAAATTATTTGGCTGTAACTGAAATTGATAAACAAATTTTTTTTTATTTAAAAAATAATCGTAAAAAAATAATTTTAGTCAACATGTTTTTTTTTTCTAAAAACCTATTGTATAAGTCGTTTGTTGTGTTTTCCATAGCATTATACACATACCTACTTAATATTTTAATAAGTACGTGTACTTAAATTTTATAAGTCAACACTGTAGCTTAGTTCTTAACATTTAACTATTTAATTAAATTGAAAATCCTTTGCAGTTTTTGAAAAATCTACTAATTTGTTTAATTTTTGTAGCGACACTCAGTGATACATGAGATCAGTGAATTTGAAGAATATTATTGATTTAGCTCTTATCATTTACATATGATATCAACTTTTAAAGAGATAATCAACTCACAAATGAGTGTAATCAGTTTTCCATAACACAAAATTACTTAATTTAACTAGGCTGTTCTTATGTTCGTTCATTTTATTAAAGAACGTCTGCCAAGCAATATACACCCTTATGATTATGTTGGAAATATTTTGCAATATCCAAGAATTCCTAGAATCAAAATAATTTCTTGCTGTATTTTTTAATGGAGTTTAAAATTTAATTTAAAATCAAAATTTCAAAATTTTTAATTGAATCCGGATTTATTTAAATAACAATAAAAAATGAAAAAAAATATTATAAATAGGTATTTTACATAATGAGTTTTTTAGTAACGAAAAAGCTTGCAAATACTAACAATAATTAAATTCTATAAATTTTTATAGAAAGTTCTTATTCCAAATTTATATAGCAAATTATTTCATTAAAATAATTGAAATATCACTTCAATTTTTAATTTTCTTAAAGCTAAAATTAGATTGATCTATAACAATACCTATGAATTCTGTCTAAATCTTTTTTGATCTACCAACTTATAAGATTTTAGTTTTTCATTAAATATTATTTTCTTTTATTAATGGTCAGTAAGCCGGCTTTAGTTAGCCCAAATTAGTCAGGTTATATGTACCAGACGAATTTGAAAATAAATTTCGGGAATGAGTTTCATATCCGTTTCGCCACTTCAACAACAATAGCTAAAAGGAACGATTGTCAATTATTTTGAAAGTTTTAACACCAGACAAAACTGAAAAACGATTAAGAGTGCCAAAAAAGTAATTCGCCGAACGAGTTTCCAAATCATTATTTTGACAACTCACATATTTCGTACCCTTTCCATTTCAATTCCATTTTGAATTCATTTCAACAAAATTTCCATTTTTTGGTTGTTTTTTTTTTTAATTCTTATATTCTACGATTTATATTACAGCGACGTATTAAAAGAACCTTATTTGCATCGCTTAATTAAGCTGTCGTTTTTTATTTCACATTATTTCAATATACAATAAGCTTTGTTTAAATGATTTTCTCAGTATAATAAATTTCAATTAAAAATTTCTAAAAATACATGTAATATTTGTTTACATCTTTAAGTATACATATTCTTATACATATGTATATACATGTGTGTATTCTCACTTCTACATTGTACACATGTGTTTGCATTTTCAATTCATAATTATATTTTACCTTATCATTAGATAAAATTAAGTAATATACCAAGATATTTTGATAAATTCATTTTTTTTATCGATGTATAACACTGTTGTATAATTTTAAATAATAATATTGTTTTTCTTAAACTTAATTTAGTGTTATATATTATTACATAATTTGAATTTGCGATTAAAATAGCAAGAACTTTGAAAACATTTAATTGAGCTGTTTGGGTGTGAAGAACTCATTTGCTTGCAAAACATTAAATGTTTTCCTTAATTTCCACCTATAGCTTAACAGTAAAATTAAGTGAGTTATGTTAAGAACGTAATAAAATCTTTGTATTAATCTCTGAATATTTTCTAATATTATTAATCTTTGAATATTTTTATAATATTAAGATTCAACATTATATGCATGTACATATAAAAAAATCTGATGTGGGCAGCACATAACCGACCGCATTGTGTATTGTCTAGTTAAGTGAAAGTGTTACAGAATATTATAAAAATGTCTGTTAAATACTTCTTTCCAATTTTTAGGACATTAGTAAGCTTATAGTTAACATACCTAGAAAAATGTAAATTTGGCTCTTAGTAGAGTTTCGCTTTGTGGTACCCGAATTCCCTGAAATGCTCCCCAGTTAGTTTTGGTAACAACCAGAACTCAAATATCAAATTTCAAGAAATTCCATCAATTCGTTCTGTAGATATGGTGAAAAATGTAAAATCGGCCCGCAAATCAGTTTTCGAGCCCTGATCTTTCCAAAGAATTTATATGTTCATTGTTTTAATACGAAGAATTCATATACTAAATCTCAATGAAATCGGTTGATTATTTCTCTTTATATACACAAAAATGTATATTTGGCCCGTAGTAAACATCTAGTTGCCGATGCCTGATTTCTTCCAAAACATAGGAATTTTTGCGGACGGTCGAGCAAAGCTTACATATAAAATTTCAAGTAAATCGGTTGAATATTTTCTTCAAAATGTTCAAAAATGTAAAACAGGCCCGCTAAAAAGTGCAGTTCCCGAGGCCTGATATATCCCAAAAGTTGATCAATCCGTGCCATGGTGGAAATAAACTTACATATAAAATTTCATCAAAGTCGGTTCAGCAGAACTTGAGAACACGCGTGCACACACAGACCGACAGACCGACAGGTTGCTAAAAATAGTTTATTTACACTTCCCTACTATGGAGAAGTGCATTTCCACCGAAAACTCGATATGCAAAATTTGTTGCCATCACATAACCTACCTATTGTATACACAATACGGTCGGTAAAAAGAGAAGAAAGAATTGTATTGTACAGATATTGAGTTTAGTGTCGCATTGGCATAGTTTGTTAGTAAAAGAAGAATGTTAATTTGTAAATTCAAATCCAATAAGAGAAATATGCCTAAATGAGTGCAATTCAAATATTAAGTTAGACAAAACTATATTAAATAGCTAATGTTCTCAACCATTAGCGTTATTGCTTTGCAAATTTTGTCATGAAAAGCTGCTGCTTTTGTCAAAATCTTATACCCATAAATAATTCCTCCTTCATACACAATAAAAAGAGAATATTATTATGTTTTCCGGAAAAATTTATTCTTTTATATTGCAGCATTTCGGCTTGCTATAAAAAACGGTGGGAGGCAATATATGTACGAGTATTTGCCTAATTTATTCCTCGTTTAACTAAATAATTATTTTTTTTAAATATTTTTACTAAAATTTCATAGTACCAGAATAATTCCTTCTTTACTTTATAATATTTGTAATAAATCTGCTTTCTACATTTTGCATTATTGCAACTTTTTACAATTCTATAACGCAATTTAAATCGTTGCTTATTTAATTCAATAAAAATCTAGATTAATTTTAATATTGCAATTATCAAGTAAAGTTATCTATTCTTAATACATATACAATGCAGTTACTTTATTAACTATATGAAAGTTACACACTTGTGATATCTTTGTAGGCTTAAAGATATTGAAATAGTTATCTGGTTTAAACTACTTTGAACATTTAAGTAGTTTAGTCGATAAGTTTTTGCTTCAAAATTTACAAATTATGTTCTCAAACACAGAATTAATTAATGAAAACACAAAATTTATCTAGCAACAAGAAACAATACTGTTCAAGAGAATAAAACACCATTTAAAAATATGAATAAATATTTTGAAATTTAATGATTTATTCCTTTTTTTCAAAATACAAATTTTAAGTTCAAATTCCAAAATTAATGAAATTCAAAAGCAAAAAAAAAAAAAACAAAATAAAAATTGTTTCCATTTAAAATTTTCGTTTTCGAGATAATTCTGCTCGAAAACAGTAGCTTTGAGGTTACATTATCAATTTCACATAGAATGAGGAAAAAAAAAATTATTAATCACAAGCAGACTTCATTTTTGATCGCTAGACAAATTTAGATTAGAATAAAAAATTTATTATCAAATTTTGATTTTTCTTTTGTTGTACGCCTGATATGTCCAAATGTGTGGTATTTGCGGTGTAAACACCATATGTTTTATACTTAAGATGCCAACAATTCCGATTAACATAAATAAAACAATTAAAATAATTTTAAATGAAGTAGGAAGAATAAAAATTCTTATAATTGATAATAAAATTTAATATTTTAATTTTATATTTTGTACAATTTCTTCTTTGAACACATATACTAAATTATTACTAAAAAATTTATATATAAAAAAAAATCAAATGTAAATGATAACAAAATGTAATTATGAAAAAATTAAAAATAACAAAAAAATAAATTTACAGTCATAATATCGTAAAATTAAAATATTTCATTCAACTTTTATTATTAACAAAGTGATGCTATTTTATTTTTATTAAGTTCATCATCGCCATCATCTTGTTCCTTTATTGATTTCGGTATTTTAACTTTTGTATATGTGTCCTTAATATCTAAATCATCATCATATTCTTTTCTTAATTTTGATTTTTTTGTTCTTTTATTTGCAAATATTCTATATTCATCACCCAATAATGAAAATTCAAATTTCTTTAAACGATTTCTTGGTAATTTTTCATCTGTTATTGGTATCAAAAACCAATATTCATTTAATATCGGTTTTAAACCAGGCATTTTTTTTAATTCATCTAATAAATCTGATCTTTTTGATATTTTATGCATTGCCAAAAATTGTAATGTAACCGGTTGTGATATTGAATTAATTAATCTAATTGCACAACGTGATGATGTTGAACATACCATTGGATATAAATTAATATCTTTTGGTATATTTGTAAATGCAATACCAAGTGGTTTACGATTTAAATAAAATTCTAAATGACCACGATATAAATCTAAATAAATACCAACAATACAACCTTGTGTTATTGTTTTACCATAATTTAATGCAATTCCTTTATGTGTTTTAAGGCCACGATATGAAAAACCCCATGATTGATTTGTTCTACCTAAACCGCTTACAAAACGATATTTATATTTATTTAAATCAATTTTATCTGTACCAATACCAAACATTTCATCTGTACCAGATGGTGTTGTTATTATTTGCATTTCCCAATAATGTATATAATTTGGTTTTAAAATTTTTTCACCTCTTACAAATGATGTACCTTGACTATATATTGGATGAAATGTAATATCAGGACCATTAATATATGTATCAGAATCAGTAACATTTTTATCCCATATCCATTCTTTATATTTATTTAAATAACCATTTTCAATACATTTACAATTATATAAATCATGAATATTTTTATTATTTAAAACATCAATATTACGTGGAAATTCACAATTACAAAAAGGTGGTGTTGCTGTTGCTGTATTTGGTGGATTACCACTTAAATAAAAATCACTTTCTTTTGGCATTTTTATATTATGTGTGTGTGTTTTTTTTTAAATTTTATTAAAATATTTATTGTTTATTAAATGATCATTAAAATTTATATTAATTAATTTTTAATTATTTTTTTTAATTTTAAAGTTTATACTTAGTTCTTTTTCTTTATTTTTATGTTAATTTTTATTAAATCACTAAATTGCTTTATTTTTTTCGTTTGAATTTAATTTTTATTATAATTTTTAATTGTAATAAATTAAATTTTATTTAACTGAATTTTCAATTCAATTTTTAAATTGTCATTTCTATATTTCAAATATGTAAGCAGCCACCTTTTATAATTCAAATATTTTTCTTTTTTATATCCAATTTATATTATTAAAGTTTATAAATATTTATAATGCTGTTTTTATTATTATTGTAATATGAGAAATCAAATAGTTGTAATAAAGCTCAGTATTTTTCCATTCCACAATGTTAAAAACGTTTAAATAGAATTTGCATCACTCTTTATTTATTTTCATGTATCAGAACGTAGATTTAATTAAATTCTGGGATATTCCTTTTGAATTTCAATAGTATGTAAGTATATTATTGTATTTAGATCAACGTATTTTTGTTGTTATTACTACAATTATTACTGTCTTCTTAAATTTCAACCTTTTATATGAATTTTGTGTATGAAAATTTTTAGTTTATCGCAAATAGTTTACCAAAATAGCCGCTAAAAAGAAAAGCCGCTAATGTTGTTTATTTAATTTTTACTTTCTAAACTAGCATATCGTAATAATTCGAACTTTTACTTTTATATTAAAAATTTTTGTTTTTTAAAATTGAAACATTTTTAAAGTTATTATATTGAAAGTTAATTTAGAACTGATCGAATTTTTATAGAGATCACGAATAAAAAAGCTGATAGCTTTTTAAAAACAACAATTTTACATATATATATGTATGTATATGTGTTTTTGTTTGTAGTATAAACATTTTAAACTTTTGGAAAATGTGAAAAAAAAAAGAAAACAATAATAAAAGTTTGTTTGTGTCCAACACATTCATATTTTAATTGTATACAATTTATTTAATATTTACATAGAATTTATTCGTTTTTTTTACAGAATATAATAAATAAGTAGTATAAATGAAAGCTAGACTACTAGAACTTAATATTCTAAAAATTACATGGCTTATAAACTTATAAGCGTTAAATAAAATGTGATAATATTCACATTAATGTTTGTTTGTACCAACTTTTATACAAAAATATTATAGTTATACTATTGAATGAGGTACTATACTTAGTACAGTATTATGTATTAAGTCATAATTATTATAATCAACATAAAACTGTGCAATTTAGATTATAATTTTGTATGAATGCAATGCAAGTGTATCTATGTATACGAGTATATTTAAGTTCTATTAAAGCTTTCTATAATTTTCTCTTGTTCTGAATTATATATGGAAATTTATTAAGTAATATGAAGTGAGAATTTGTGAGAATGTGTAAATTAAGAGTGAATTGAGAAAGATTGATTATATGAGAGTAGTGGGTGAGAGTGTTAATTAATAAGATTAATAATTACTTTCATACATAATTAAATTTCGAATTTATGCAGTTTTTTTGCAAAAAATGTATTCGTTACTGTTTAAAATTTTGAGATATTGTTGTGTACATATACATAACAAATCAATATAAATGTTGAAGTTTTGAAGTGTTTAATTTTAAAATTTTGACTGATATTTTGGCTCTTTCGCAATTACGTATTAGGGGGTAGGTTTCTATGGTGCTTACATGTAAACATGATTTATTTAATTTTGTTTTGAAGACATATTATTAATATTTTTTATATACATGCAAGCCTCACACTATATTAAGTATATTTTTAGTTATAATTTAATTTTCTTATCAAATTCAAAACAATAAAATAAAATTAAATATTTTAAAAAGAAAAACAAATATATTATATATAGAATAGAATAGAAAACTATAAAAAAATATAATTTTAAGTTTATTTACATTTTTCATTTTATCAGTACTTTAATATATAAAATAAATTAATCCAATCTAAGGTTAAAATATTTATTATAATTTGTTATAGTTTTGATGTTTTGCTTCCTAGATTTTTATTATCATTCCACCCATATATTTGAAGTTTTCTGTGTATATTATAAAAGAAATATTTTATGAGATTATGAGTCCAAAAACATGGGGTTTCTAGAATAAAATATATAAGTATTCAGACTTTATTTTATTTGTAAATTCAATGAACTTTGATTTTTGTATACGATACGAAACATGTAATATTAAGAAAATTTCCAATATAATCCAATATACAAGTATGTATACATATTATTTTTATTTGCAGTAACATTGCTATATAAGAAATACAGTAATACCCCGCACTTACGTACCCTTTGGGACCGGAGCGTGTACGTAATACAAAAATGTACGTAGAATGAATCTACTACTTTATTGATGAATAATATGTTTGAAACAAACTAAAACAATAAATATATAAATAAAAAGAAAAAGAGGGATATTATGTATGCAGTTTTATACTTTTATTTCATACGTTTTTATACTATATTTAACACTTAACGTGTATTAAAAAAACAAAACAAAAAACAAATTCATATACATATATAAATATCAAACAAAACTGAAATATAAAACATAAACTTCAAAATTCATCAATACATAATTTAAATATAAATAATATTGTAATTGTTACGCGAGAGCTCAGAACACTGGAGCTTGGATTAGCCCCGGGAGAGGAATGTTTGAGAATGCCGCCAGACCAGTCCAAGTTACCTCCCTTTAATACTGCCTTTTTTCCATAAATTTCAAAACCAGAAAAAATGTACTTGTACGTAAGTGTGAATCATTGTATGTATAATGGGCAATTGGGGACAAAAATGAGATGTACGTAAGTGCGAGGGTACGTAAAACGGGCGTACGTAACACATGGTATTACTGTATTTGTAATTATCCTTCACATTGTGTTAGAAAAATCATCACTTGTGGTGATGGAACATCTTTAACATTTAATATATAAAACATATTGGAAAATATTTAAACACGCGTGATTAAATATGATATTTTAAAATATTTTAAAAAGATAATTTTCAACTGTTTGCTTTGACATACGGACGCACAAATTGAAAGAGTGAAACTGATAACCATATCAGTTCAATATTTTATTGCAAAAATTATAAGATATTAAGCTAGACGTACAATTTGATTTTATCAAAAAACTAAAGGCGTACAAATTGAAAAGTCATTTTTGGTGGCGCTTCATTGTTACTCGATATTGTACCTTAAGATAATGTCGCAAGTATTTAAATTTACACGTCTTTTATCGTCACTTTTTTTCACATTATATAAAATGTTCAAATTACCTTATTATAAAATTAATATAAAACAAAGAAAAATGAGTTAACCGTGTCAACTCCGTGATATCACAGTGTCGTCGGTTAAAAGGCAGAAAGCACTAAGTGCATTTTTTGAGAATTCGGATTTCATATAGATGAATTAAATCAGAATAATATAATCTTTGTTGTGGCAAAAAATCATGCAAATCCAGGATATAGTTTATAAATCCAGAAATAAAAGAGACCAACCCCATTGCACTAATTGATTAGTTTTACAATTTTACGATTTTTTCAAATTGCATTTACTCAAAACACAGTTTCCTGACTTAATGCTTTCTGCTTCTTAACCGACGGTATGAATGTTTTTAAGAGTTTTGTGATAAAAAAGTTTTGTTCCTGTTAACATTTTGGTCAGTATTCTAGTGAAATTTTAATACTGCAACCCTTTGAAATTTTTAAAATTGCTTTAGAAATCTTGTAAATATCTATATTTAATCTATATTAATCCTAACCAAATTTTGTTGGAAAGTGGCGCAGTTTTTAAACTCTTAAGGCAAAATTTGAATTCATTTCATTTTGCAGTTTACGACAAAATGACTCGTTAACTTTTGAAGTTCTATGGCAGCTCTTATAAGGGTTTATACAATTATAACCAAATTTTATCGGAACAGTGGCTATTTTATCGGACTCTTTCATATAAAATTTGAATTCTTTAGTCTCTGTAGTTTCTTAGATATTACTTAATTATTTTGGAAACTGTATAGCGCCTGTTTTATATACTTGAGTCGCTTCTTCGATTGGATCCAAATTAAATAGGGTTACTGCCATATAGCAAATTTCTTAGTATTACAAATGGAAAGGCAAATTTATAATATCCTGCAAACGGTATTCGTTAATACGAGTATAAACATTTATTATAAGCAAGTTTTAAGTAAAATTGAAAGGTTTAAACAAATTTTTTCATCAAGCAGCTAGATTGACTATCATAAATAATTTTTTGGTTAAAACAACCAACATACAGAAGTACCAATCCAAAATATCTATTTGAAATCAACAAAAAATAACAAAATGTTTATAACAAAGCTACGAAAAAAACTTTTAATTTTTTTTTGTTTTAACTACCTTGATTAATTTGTTTTTTTTTTGTTTTGTTAAATATTGATAAAAACAAGCTGTGAGCACAAAAAAAAAATTACTTACATGTTTGTTTTTTACTTAAACTATAAGATGTTTATCAAGAGATGTCACAATTCATTTTTTCTTGTTATTTAGATTTTTCAAGTTCTCATGCAGTTTTCATATTGGAAATTAATAAAATTGGAGTTAAAAACCTTTAATTTACAATTTAAAACAAGCCATTACAAAATCTATAGCAAACTGGAAAATAATGTGGCAATAATGTGCATTAGAATTATTCCAACTTATTTTAACAATGCTAATATCGATAGTTGATTAATGAAAAAAATATTAGAGTACATAGTAAGGTTTTATTTATTCAGTTTAGGATATGGGAATTCAACTTCTTGTTTAATAACGTGAGGAGAAAACTTCTAAAAAATAAAATCTATATGGACATATGGTTTACAGCTATGGGGTTGTTGCGAACGCACCTCAAACAGATACAGATTTTCAAGAACAAGGTGCTTCGTAATATGGCGGCTGCTCACTGGTATATGTGCAATAGTGATATTTGGGTGTCTTAGAGTAAGTGCAGAAATAAGGAGCTTTGCCATATAACACAGAGGGCGTTTAAAACAGCATGTAAATATTGTGACCTCTCTACTTTTAGGACAAAGGATTAGGACAGAAAGACTGAAATGAACAAGGTCTAGTGCTGAGAGCACTTTCCTTCTCGAAATATGAACACAAAAACACCATAGAGTATAACTAATGGTTAGTCAGTTTCACTAGTTTTAAGAGTTTAAGACCATCTAGGTGTGTTTGAGGTTGGGTTAAAGCTCCCCACTAATGACAGGTCTAATAAACAAAAAAAACATCACGGCCCTATTGCTCAAACCGCCCTTATTTTTTTAAAAATTTTTTAAATTAAGATGGTGCATTAGTGTTTTGACTTTTGTTGCTACAGAAACTTGACAAATTTATTGATTAATCAATCTAAATTTTAAGAAAAATCAAATAAATTTCCAAATAAATATTTTTAAATTATTAACGTTTTGTTTCCAAATCAATATTTTAAGAGTAAAAAAGTATTGCCTCATCAACAATTGCCGATAGTTACTGCCTTTATTAAACTGAACTTTTTTAAACTGAATCTCTTTTTTTCAGAATTTAAGTTAAACTTTCATTTAAAGTGCTTGCGTGTTTTCCATAAAATTTCACAAAAAAAAAATAAATTACACTAAAATTAATTTTGATCTTTTTTAAAACGCCACCTACACTTTATAAATGAAACAAATTATACACTCTTGTATAACTTTAAAACACTCAGCGTCAACTCTTTTTCCGAATCTTGTTGTCATAATCGATTTTTTTGTTTATTTTAATAGTAATTCTGTATGTACGTATGTATGTACGTAATAAATAAATTTTTTTATGCTAAAAAACCGTTTGATTTCTCAATTTGTTTACTCAATTTGGATGTGGTCCATTTTGGTAACAAGAAGATGATGATATGCAAAAAAATTAACTATACCAAAAAAAAAATTAAAATAATATAAAATTATGTCGTGGTTTAAAGAAAAAAATTCGCTTAAATTTTTTTGCTCATATTTACAGTTTATCTTTAATTTTTTTTTTTTTAATGAAAAATATGGAAGCCATTGTTGATGCAGCATTTTTAATATGCAAATTCGAATACATGGCTTAAGTATGTATGTACGTATATTGTTTGCGCTCACCAGGGTCTTTGAATATATTCATGTAAAATACATACATACGCATATGAAAATTTCAATACTAAAAGTATGCATTTTTTTAACAACTTCAAAATTGCCTAATTTCAATTCCGTTATCATTTTGTATATATGCACACGAAAATACATTAAACTTTTTTGTTTTGTGCTCATTAACTATGTACATACATATGTTTGCACATACATATTATACATATCTAATGCATAATTTAAAGATAAAGCAATTTTTGTAAATTAATAACGCAATATTTGATTATAATGTTTAACTGTGATAAGAAAAGTGTGTTAAAGTTTTTTTTTGATTTTCGATTTTTGGAGCTTTTTAGATAAGAAATTAATTTTACTGGTATTATTTAAGCAAGTTAACCACTATATGTATGTATGTCACTTAACTTTAATAGTACTAATTTGCAACGATTATTAGGTATAATATTGAAATAGTTAGAATAGAAATAAGTTGTGGTGAGCGGGAACCGCCAATTTATATATGTATATAGTAATAGGTATGTACATGTACCTATATAAAGCGTTTGTTTCGCATAAGGTGACAAATAACTTCCAAAGACTGTATAGCACGAACACCAGTATATCAGCATTACTTCCTCCCGAGCCATACAATTTTTTGCTGAAAATTAATCAAAGAATCCTGAAATTATTTGTCACCTTATATGAAAAATCCTGTGTTGTTGAAAATTTTTTTTAAGAAATAATTTTACAATCTCCGAGTTTTTTTTATATTTTCAAGATCTCTTTAGTAAGAACCAATTTTATATTTTTCTAGATACACACACATGTTGTTAACTAAAATCTTAATAGTCTTTAAAATTTGAAAGAAATGTTTAAAGGGTATTTTCATAATCTTTTAGGGCACTTTCGCAAAACTACAGAAAGCACATTTTGGTCGGCTATGTGCTGATCACATCAATGTAAGTGGTCATCACATAACCAACGTGTACATAAGTATGTTGTATATTCTTTATTTTTAAGTAAAGTAGCATATTTCCTTTTGATAGTTTAAGTGAAAAATCACCAATTTGGTAGTTGCGTCTACACATATTCGGACAGTGTCTCTTTTTCTCCAAAAAACAACTGAAAGTTTTAAACTAGAAAATCTAGTTTGGGCTTATTTTTCACTAATTATTCTATTAAAGAATGTTAAGCGTTCCAACTTAAGACGTATATAAGCGAGAATATGCGAGAGTTTTTTTTTCCCCAAAATTTTTAGTCTTTTCTTGGTAATTTTTTTACAAGATTTGTTTAAACACTTTTTTAATAATAATTTTTATTGTTTTAGAGCATAAGTAAATAAAAATAACAACAGCAAAAAATTTGGTAAATTAAAAAAACTAAAGGTGTAAAAAAGAATACTCAAAAAAAAAAATAAAGAAGAGAAGAAAAAATTATAAAAAAAAATCTGCAAAAGATAAATGGAAATGGAAGGGATGTTAAAAAAGCTTTTAAAAATTTTGTTTTTTTTCCTTCTCTTTCCCTCATTTTATATTTCGTATTTTGTTATTTTTTGTTTTGAATCATGTTATACCGTTACTACACTAAACTTGATCAAATTAAAAAAAAAATACTTTACAAAATATTTTTTCAGTATGTTTTAAACTTTTAACGAAAACGCTTGTGTCTCGTTTTGAACCCGTAAACTACAATTTATTGATAGTATTCAAGAAATTTCATTCAATTTCTTAATTTTTACCATACCTGTGTTGGAACATACGGCATAAAGACGAAAGGTGTGCGAGTTTTTTTTTTTTGTTGTTTATTTTTATTTATATAAAAACAAAAAAAAAACATTTGCAACTGTTTTAAAGTTTTTTTTTTCTCTGTGTTTGTGTCTATGTTTTATTATTTTTTTTTTTTTGTTTTTAAAGAGCGTTGAAAGCAAATTTCGATTTCTGTTTCAAAACGATTTAAAATCAATTTTTTTTTTATTCTGCTTGTGTTGATTTTTTTCTGTTTTCATTTTTCACATTTTCAGGTGAAGTTTTCGCTTGAAAGTAAAGTGAAATCGCATTTTAATAAAAGAAAATTTTTTTTTGTACATTTTAATATTCGTTTATACGGTTTGAGTTTATTCAGTAATACACTCGGGCGAAATAAAAATTAAAAAAAATATATATATAAAAAAAAATTTAAAGTGATATTTTATCAATTAGGAATGATAATGAATTAAAATTTAAATTTGAAATTAAAAATTAAAAAAAAAGAAGAAAATATTTAAAAAATTTATTGATAAAAAGTAAAAGGAATTCAAAAATAAATTTAAATAAATTTTACTTTGTTTATTTCGGTTGGACGTCGTGCAAAATAATTACCATAAGAATTGCAATTCGTTAATCAAAAATTCTAGTATCATAAAATTTTAATTTTTTTTCACTATTATATTACAGTAGGTACCGCAGTGCAGCTTTACAACATCTCTGATTTGATCAAAACTCAATTAACATTTTAGTGATCTTGTTCTTCACTTAGTGATTTTGCTCTTCTGTGGTATTGTACATAATTTGCATAAATTTTTTAACATCTACTTAAAATATTTATGTAAATCTGTTTAATATTGTAATTTTATATAATCATATATATGTACATATTTATACATTGTTTGTTGTATATGTGAAAAATTTCTTAATTAATGTTTATAAATTAAAGTGATCATCGTATTTTCATTAAATTTAATTTGGAAAATATTGCAGAAGTAAAGAAAATAAAAAATTATAAATTATAATAAAAAAAATATACAAAAAAAAGTGAAATAAAAAATTAGAAAACAGTGGAGGAAATTAAAAAAATTAAGTGAGTAAATTAGAATTCGTTTCGGATACTAAAAATAAATAAAATTATTTTTTTTATTACAAAATTGAAGAGAAAAATATTTTTTAATTAAATTGGATACACAAAAACAATTTTCCATATTATAGGTAATTTTTTTCTTATTAATTATAAAATATAATTATAAGTATAAAATTTTTATTAAATTATACTTTCCTTTGTATATAATTTGCAACTCTTTTTGGAAATTTTAAAAATATTTTGCAGAAATTTTCATTAATTTTGTGTGGCATATACACAAGTTATTGTAAATTAACACAATTAAATTAAAATATTACAAATCACTTGTTTTTGCTTCACCGTAAATGAAATGCAGAATAAATATAGTAACGCATTACGATTACACAATCAAAAATTCAATAAATTAAATATAAAAAAAATTTCATGCATTTTTTCGCATATTTTTGCACATGCACATGTCCAAAAAATTTTTACTTGAAATTTTTATAGAAAAAAATTTTGCTCTGATTGCAATTAATTTATTAAATTGCACTTACTCACGAATTATTTACCAATGATGTTAAATAGGAAGAATGTTTTCTTTGAAATTATGTCAAATTTTGTGTTGCATTTATTATACATATATATGTATGTTAATGTGTAATATGCTCTTAATAAAAAAATTCCTAATGTATAATTAAAAATCCTAAATTTTTAATAACGATATAATTTAATTGCAACACTACACTAGGTCAAAACTTACATATATACTTAAGGAATATTCATAACTTTTGGCAATTTGACATAACGACATCTGTTGATTAGCATGTCAATTCTCAAACAAAATGTATGATAAAGAATGTTTGATGTCTAAACCATACATAGTATGTAGCAAATAACAATATTATTAAATTTCCATAATTGAATGACAAATTTCTTTGAGCAAATAATAGAAAAACTTTTGAATTTCAAATCAAATAATAACTTAAAAATTAATTAAATAAATTTTAGAGGGTTTCAACCATACTTTTACAAATAGAACCTTTTTTACATTACAATTTAAGTTTACATGAAATTTGAATTGAAATTGAATATTATCAACGAATTGCCGAATGTTATTTAGCGAAATTAAATGTTTATAAGTAAAAAAACATGACATAAATGAAAAATATTTATTCCAAATAGTTATTAATGCATTAATTTGAATACTAATTGTAATTAATTAAGCATCAAATCATTTCTTTCCCTTTACTGTGAATGAAATGCAGAATAAATATAGAAACAGAATACATACTATTACACATACAAACATACAGAAACGTATTTGCAATTAATATACCAAAAGAGAATAAATAATTAAAGAACTTAAATATTATCGCGTGTGAAAACTTGATTTTCAAAAAAAAAAAAAAGATAAAAGAAAATTACTCTTAACAGTTTAACACATGCCATTTTAAAAAGTATATTGTACGTTAATATAATATGGACGTATACACAATTAATTATAAATTTTGAAAATATTACTCGCTTTCTATTTAAGAACAAGCAAATAAGCACCCACAATACTCTTATAAATATAAAAAATTTTAGGTAAATATGAAAGAAAGTTATAATTTATGAAAAAAGTTCATTTCTTAAGTCTTTTGTTAATGAGATTTTCAATACAAAAATTTTGAGTAATTTTTTATTTTCTGTTATTAAATTCTGCTGTTATTAAAATATTTATTAAAACTTATTATGATTACAACATAATTTACAAAAATAAATCGCAATAGCTTATAGTACAGTGGTATAGAATACTATCACCATTCTCAATCTGTGACTAAAATACTTTCTTATTGTGGTAAAAGCAGGATTGAAATCATTTAAATTTAATTAATATAATTAAAATTATTTTTTTCCATTTTCTATCCTTTATGACCGCATAGCGGTAGTAAAGTATTATATATAGCAGTAATGTACATATAGGAGTAAATTTAACATAATTGTGAGAGCTAAAATAACTTTAATTTGGGATTTGTCTGCCACATCTTTAAAATAATATGGTGCAAGAAAAAGGGCCAAGAACAAAATCAAGTGTTTCCTGTACAATTTATGTAAAGAACTATTAACTCGATTTAAAAAAAAACTCAAGAGTTTTTATAAATACAAGTATCTAGCTAAATGACAAATCAAATTATTCAAAATGACGATTATGATTTTAATTAATGTTTTTGAATGCCTCCAAGGTACTGAATAATGCCTTAAATTTTCATTATTTTTCATATAAACTTTAATGGAACTCGACTTTTGTAATAACAATTTTAGAAACATATATTGTGTTTATAATCTTATACTTAATTAGTGAAGTACTTTTGTGCTGGTGAAGTACTAATATTATAATATATCACAATTTCTCCAATAACAATTTTAAAATTTCCTAGTTCGACTTAATTTTTACACACAACCAGTTAAAAGAGTAAAACAAACTGTTTTACAAAAATTATTTAAAAAATTTTATTTTAAATTTTGAAATTTTTGCAAGTTATGAAATTCTCAATTCTCATATATGCAATTGAAATTAAATACTTAATTAGAGAATTAAAATTGGGACATAAAAAAATTTTCCATTTAAAACTCCAGAAAACCCTATGTAAATCATTATTAAAAGCTTCATTATAAATTTTGCTAACAATCGAATAAGAAATATATTTTATGAATAAACGGCATTTTCATTTGAATAAGAAAAAAAATTATCAAATTAATTAATCGCTTGCAATATAATTAGCTTGTAATTAGCAAACAAATTCAACTTAATAAATATATATATAGTTATATATAAATACATGTGAGTAATTAATTTTATTATAAAATTACATTAAGAAGAAAAAGAAATCTATAAATTTATAATTTCAACTTTCTTACAATTTTTTTTTATAATGTGGCCGGTCAGCCACTTTAAACATCGTTTCACAATTAAAATAGCGAAAACTCATATTTGCACAGAAAAACGAAAAAAGAAGAAACGATACAATCTTTCAATATATTTCAAAAGTGAAAATTAACTCTCTAATATGTGTGTAATTATGAAATAGCTGTGAAAACTAAAATAAAAAAATAAAAAGAAAAAACAAGAAATTATTAAGTATTAATAAAATATAAAATTCATTATATAAAATGTGCCTTCTACGAATATTTAAAATAAAAAAAATTCTAAACAAATGCGGTTTCTAAAATAGCAATTTTCCAAAAATTAAAAAATTTATCCAATCTTGAGAGCAGATAACTTGGAAAGGAAGAAAGAAATATAGAAACTGTAAAATCTTACATTTCTTAGATATCCAAAACTTTGAAACTTTAAGTTAAATTTTACAGTCTTGCAAAACTTAGCGTCTAAGAATAAAAGATGTCAAAAATTCGAAGAAAGAATTTAACAGCTATTTTGTTATTTCAATAGTTACTTCTTTTTTCAATTCTCTGTTTTGCAATAGAGTCTAGAGTTGGCTTAATTTTTTTGCCTGCACAAAATTTAAAAATGTTTGTGGTTTTCATGCGACATACTCTCCTGATCTTTCTGTGACTAAATAGCTTTTAGAAGCAGATATAGGTAAATATTTTTTTTTTGCTAGGAAAATAGACAGAATTTCTTATAAAACTTCATTTGTTTATTACATTTCTAAAATTTCAGCTTTTTATCTTAAAAATTGTGTAGAAGTTTTAAAAACCGACGAGTGGACAGAATGACAAAATTTAACTAACAAGCACATTTTTTTTTCAATAAAATTTCTAAATATGCTAAAAATTAAAAAAAAAAACTAAAAAAAAACGTACAAAATGCAACAATAAATATGAGGAATTTTTTGTGCAATTTTAAGTAGATGCAATTATTTAACTGGAATTTTCAACAACATGTTGGTGTTTCCTTGATCATCCGCAGACAGTATATATATATACATATGTACAGTATATATATACATACATTAATATGTAAAACTAAATATATATAAAATATAGAAGAATTAAACTGGGTCAACATATGTAATGACTAATCGAAAAAAATTTCAAAACGAAAATAATTGAAACGCCTTTAAAAATAAGAAATTTTCGCGATAATAAAATAATCATACGCGGAGAAATTACGTTATGAAAAGGGATTTGCAAAGTGAAACTGATTTATAATTTTAGTTTTTTTTTTACTATGTTTTGTTTTTCTTCTTTTAAACGTTGTATGCTTGAAAGTAGCTCTACTCTGTACGGTAAATTAATGAGCCGGAACTATTGAATAAAAATAAAAAAAAAACAACAAATTTTTTTTTGTTTTTCAACTTTTTCTTAAAAATCTCAAAATTTTTATTTGAATGAAAATTGAAATAAAATGATGCGAGAAAAAAAAGTTTAGAAATTGAAATTATTGAATTTAATTATTGTGTTCGTATATTAAAGGATATTGATAAAATAAAAATTGAAATATATTTAATGAAACTTGTGTAAATTGAGGGGCAAAAAAATTAATTAAGACAATTATGTATGGGCAAAGTAAACAATTAATTGTTTCCTTTAAAGCATCAAGTTGAGTTGCATTAGGATTGAAGTTAATACAATAATCGAAGTTGGTCAACTGTTCAACTAACATAGCTGAATAATTTTCAAACTTAAATGAAGTTTAACTAAAATTCAAGTTCAAGTTTAATATATTTCCCTTAGTTTAATAAATAGGCTATTGAATGCTACTATTTAAATTTCTTGGCTGAATTCTTTATTATTACTATATTGCATATACACACATATATATATCATATTATAATGCACATGTATTCATATATACACAGTTACGCAAGATATTTATTTTAAAATTACTGAATGAAAATTCTAGTTAAAAAAACTCATGTATGCATATGTACCTGAAGAATTTTAGCTTCAAATTAAATTTAGCAATGTTAATACAACAGGAATTTGAGGGACTAATAACGTAATAAAAAACTCCAAAATAAAAGCAGAATTGCTCCTCTCATAGAGATTATTCTGCAAATTAGTTCAAAGTATTCCTCTTGACGCGCCTAACAGAATGTGAGTCATTCAATATCTGGTTTCAGAATTGAATTAATCAGATTGCTGGGTCTACGAAATAATTTCTTGTTGTAATTATAAGCACTAACAAAAAATATTGAAA